TCCTCTTCCAAACACGGCGAGCCTCGGGTCCCTTCACAGCGACCTGCCGCCCGAACCAATTCAACCCCTTGCCACGAGGGCCGAGGCCTGGCAGGCCATCCCCGACGTGTCAAAGTGGGTTATGGGGATTATAAAACGAGGTTATCTACTCCAATTAGCTCGAGAACCCCCGCGCTTCTGCGGTGTGATCCCCACGTTAGTAGGGAACACGAACGCTCACGTTCTTCGTTCCGAGCTGTCTGTGCTGCTGGCGAAACGGGCCATAGAAATCGTTCCGCCAGCTCAGAGCGAGTCAGGGTTTTACAGCCGCTACTTCCTCATCCCCAAAAAGGATGGCAGCCTCAGGCCCATCCTCGATCTCAGGCTTTTCGCGCACTAGCTAGTAAAGTGCACATTCAGAATGACCACTTTGAAACAGATCCTCTCGCTAATTTGCCCAGGGGACTGGTTCTTCTCTCTGGATCTGAAAGACGCTTACTTTCACATTCAGCGAGTCAGGCTTTTACAGCCGCTACTTCCTCGTCCCCAAAAAGGATGGCGGCCTCAGGCCCATCCTCGATCTCAGGATTTTGAACCGCGCCCTAGTAAAGTGCGCATTCAGAATGACCACTTTGAAACAGATCCTCTCGCTAATTCGCCCAGGGGACTGGTTTTTCTCTCTGGATCTGAAAGATGCTTACTTTCACATTCAGATAGCCCCTCGTCACAGGCGCTTCTTGAGATTCGACAGATGGGAATCCGCATTCTGAATTACCTCGACGACTGGCTTGTCTTAGCCCAGTCAGAGGCCGAGCTGATAGCCCACAGATCCTCCCTCCTCAACCACTTAGAGTGCTTGGGGCTCAGGGTCAATTACGCCAAAAGCTCAATGATTCCCAGCCAACGAATCTCATTTCTGGGGGCTGTCTTCGACTCAACCCAAATGAGAGCTGTAGCCTCGCCGGAACGTGTCCTGACTATACAGCGGCTGACAACCGCCTTCACGACAGGCGCATCCCTTCCATCCTGTTTCAAAGGATGCTGGGCCTTATGGCCACTTGTCCCTCTGAGCCCCTTGTGTGCTTAAGGGAAGTTCACATATCCATAGCACGGTGTGATTGTATAGGTTCCCATAGCATCTAGCGACGCAGTACGAAGTGAAGTATCGAAAGGGAACGTACTCGGTTACTAACGTAACCTCGGTTCCCTGAGATACGGGAAAGAGTACTGCGTAGCTAGCCGTGCTATGATGCTGCACGACTCTGTCGTCGCTTCAGTCGATATGAATCAGTGATCCTATGCTGAGCACCTGCTTATATAGCCAGATGCCCCACCCGTTTTGGCGGGCTCGGGCGTGCTGTTTCGCCATAGGCTCGCGCATCTCCACTGCGCCGTCATTGGTTAATTTCTGAAACAATGGCAGTGCAGATGCAATATTGCAATATTTATGCTGTGATTGAAAAAAAGGCTTCAGCAAATCGGAGAAAAGGAGTTTCCCGTAGCGTCTAGCGACGCAGTACTCGTTCCCGTATCTCAGGGAACCAAGGTTACGTTAGTAACCGAGTACGTTTT